GCCCAGGAGTTTGAGGTTGCTGTGAGCTAGGCTGATGCCACGGCACTCACTCTAGCCTGGACAACAAAGCGAAACTCTGTCTCAAAAAAAAAAAAATAAAAAATAATAATACACTATATTATATGAAATTCTATAATAGGCATAAGTAATCTATGATGAAAAATATCAGTACAGGGATTGTCATGAGGGATACGGGTAACAATTGGTTGGGAAATGGCCTAAAGAAACTTTTGGGGTGATATTCATATTTTTCAGTTTACTAGTGGGATGGGTTATGGGACTGTGTGTGACTATCAAAATTTGGCACAAGAACATTTAAAGTTTGTGCATACCATTGTATGTAGCATTTATAATAAATAAAAGAACAACTAACAAATAAATATTAAAGTTTAGTAAATTATACTAATGTTAAAATATTTATAGGGAAGTGTCTTAATATCTGCAATTGACTTTTAAATACATCAGAAATCAGATGGATTAACTGTTGGATGGAAAAATGGATATGTGAATGGATATATGATAAATATGGTGAATGTTAATGGTAGAATCAATAGGGTGGATTTTCAAATGTTTACTGTAATATAATAGCTTCCTAGGTTGCTATTTATGTATTTTTATAATAATATATTGGGAAAAAATAAAGAATAGAATGAAAAAAAAATTGGATGAAAAAAGTATTTTCAAAAAATGGTGCTAGACCAACAGGATATTAATATGGGGGGAAAAACCTTAATCCTCACCATATACCATACTCAAAAGCAAACATAAAAGTTATACTAAATGTATAGGCTAAAATTATAAAGCTCCTAAAGGAAAATAGGGAAGAATAGCTTTGCAACCTAGTGGAAATCAAACAATTCCAAATGGAAAAAAACACTGATGAAAACACTCAATAAACTAGGAATAGAAGAGAATGTCCTCACATATAAAGGGCACTTTTTAAAAACCTATATACTAATATCATAGTTTTCAATGATGACATACTGAAAACTTTTCCTCTAGGATCAGAAACACACATACAGACTGAAAGTGAGGAAATGAAAAAAAAATTCCAATCAGTGGAAACCAAAAGCATACAGGAACAACTATAATTATATCAGATAAAATGGACTTTAAGTCAAAAAACATAAAAAGAAGACCTCTATGAGTCATTACATATTGGTAGAAATCAACTCATTAAGAGGATATAGCAAACGTAAATATACATGTACCCAATACAAGAGCACTCAGATATATGAAGCAAATATTATTTGACCTAAAGAGAGATGTAGATCCCCAATACAATAATAGCTGGAGACTTCAACGCCCCTCTTTCAGTACTGGACAGAAAATCAACAAAGATACAACAGACTTAATTTGCTCTATAGAGCAAATGGACCTAACAAACAATTATAGAATATTTCATCCAACAGTGGCAGAATACACATTCTTCTCATCAATACATGAAACATTCTCCAGGATAGACCACATGTTAGGACACAAAACAAACCTTAACAAATTTTTAAAAATCAAAATAACATGAAGTATTTCAGACCACAATGAAATAAAACTAGAAATCAGTAATAAACTAGAAACTGTAAAAATACATGGAATTTGGGTTTTTGGTATTTTTTATTTTTTGGTTTTTTTGCTTGTAGTAAAGTTATTACTTGAAGGAGTAACATAACAATATATGGAAATTAAACAATATGTGCCTGCATGACAATTAGGTCAACAAAGAAATCAGCAAAGAAACCAAAAAATGTCTTGAAACGAATAAAAATGAAAGCACAGCATAACGAAACCTATGGGATATAGAAAAAGCAGTGCTAGCAGAGAGTATACAGCAAAAAAAAGCAGAAATATTGAAAAAACATTTGCCAAAAGTCAAAATGATACACTTCAAAACATTAGAAAAGCAAGAACAAACCAAACCCAAAATAAATAGAAGGAAAGAAGGAATAAAGATCAGAGAAACACTAAACAAAATAAAGACTAAAAAAAGAATCTACAAAATGAAAACTTTGTTTTTTAAAAAGAAATAAAATAAACCACTAGACTAGATTAACCCCCAAAAAAGAGAAAAGATTCAAATAAACAAAATGGAAAATGAAAAACAAAACATTACAATTTACAACACAGAAATACAAAAGATCATCAAACACTACTACACTGACAAACTGAAAAACCTAGAGAAAATGGATAAATTCCTGAACACAAACAACTTACCAAGATTGATTCAGGAAGAAACAGAAAACCTCAACAAGCCAACAAAGAGTAACAAGATTGAATGAATAATTAAAAATCTCCCAACAAAGAAAATTCCAAGACATGATTGCTTCACTGTCAAATTGTACTAAACTTATAAAGAAGAACTAATAAGAATTATCTGCAAACTATTTCCAAAAATAGAATAAGACAGAATTCTTCCTAACTCATTCTCCAAAGCCAGCATTGCCCTGATACCAAAATAAGACAAGGAAGAACACACACACACAAAAGAAAACTTCAAGCCAATATTCCTCATGAACATACTTGTAAAAATCCTCAACAAAATACTAGCAAAATGAGTGCAGCAGCACATCAAAAAAAAAACACCACAATCAGGTGGAATTTATACCAGAGATGCAAAGATGGTTACACACATCAAAAAACAAGATACATGATATCAATAGAATAAAGGACAAAACCATACAAT